GTGCTCAGTGGGGAGTCTGCTTGAGATTCTCTCTCTTCCTCTGCCCCTCCCCCTACTCCCCCTCACTCACTCACTCACTCTCTCTCTCTCTCAAATAAATAAATCTTTAAAAAAAAAAAGCATGATGGGAATATGGCTTTGGTATGATACACTACAGTTGACATTACCAGAACCTATATGATAAATAGGCAACATACTCACATGCAGTGACTGGGTGTCCTGAAACCCTAAGTCAGGTAGAAAGAAGTTTAATTGCAGTAGAGCTCCAAGTCTGTGGTCTAGCAAGGTCCTTGCACATATGAGGTTCAGGGCAGGGGGCCAGGGCTTCTTAACCCTTTAAAATCCTTTGTCTTTGCTGCTAAACATAAAAATTTCATGTGACTCCCCAACCCTGAATTTAGAATATGGCTACATGGGTGGGGGCATAGTCTAGCCTCTAATGATCTCTACCAGTTCAGAGGCTTAATTTCTATGATTTGGATGTTAAAAAGGTAGGGTTTTTTTCCGGGTATGAAATTACTGAAAATTGAATATGCCTTTTCAAACTCCTACCTCCTCCCATTCTAAAAAGGCCACCCTTCACCTTTGAGGATTGCTGTCCCAGAGCTAATTCTGTTCCTTCTTTTCTTATTTTTCTTGTACTTATGCACCCTCCAAACATCTAGCATCGTATGAAATACATAGCAGATGCTAGGAAACATTCAACAATGTGATCTGGCTGATGTGGGGTCTAAGCTGTGGCTGGCCAGTAATGGTATGTCAGTCATCTGACTTACTACACCACATCTGGGTGAAACATATGGTCCCGTCCTTTGGTTTTTTCAATTAATCGTTTGCACCCCCCTTCTCTAATTACCAGAAGTCCATTGTCTCCTTTGTGAGGCCCCTGTCCTAATTGTCTAAGAATCCTGTGAGTTTCCTCAGTTCAAAGGGAGCCAGAAAGGTAACTGAGTCTGAGGGATGTAACACTGATGTTACTTCGTGCTGCCATTTGGTGTGTCTGTTGAAGACAGGTTCTGTAGAGTCCAGTGGAGACAGCATCTATCTCAGAGTTGGAAAAGCCAATGAGCTAATACATTTAAAGTGCTTAGTGTGTAGATGGTTGCATGGCACTATATAGGCACTCAAAGATTTAGCTATTATGTTACATTATTGAGCCTCAGTTTTATGTCTTACTTAGGGCTTAGACCCAAAGGATCCCTGGAACCATCCCAGGTCTGGCAAATGGTAAGGAAGAGATGGGGGCCTGGGTCCTCAGCAGGCTGGTATAGATAGGTAGGTAGGTAGGTAGGTAGATTTATATATAGCTTGGAGTCCAGGTTGGACCAGTCCCTGCCTCTCCCTGGAGCCTCTGGTTATCTTACTCTTATTTTCCTACAGTTGGTTTGCCCCTTGTAGGTGGAGGAGACAGCCTCCGAGTAGCTTCAGATTCCTTGTAAATCAAATGATTTGTTCTGGCTCAGAGAAGGAATTCTGGGGTGTTTGGACTGAAAAAACGTTGGCTGAAGTCACAGGGCTGGTTGTTGGTGGCTGGGCCTTAACCAAGGTCTTCCTGAATATAGAACTTGACTCTCAACTGAGGGGGTAATCTGCCTCATTTTGGAAGGCAATGTTCTGGCAATGTTCACAACAAGTCTATGGCTCATTAATAATATTTGCATTCTCGCCATTCCAAGCACACTGCCTTGTACATACCAAGAAATAGCCCTTCTCCATGTCAGCTGCTGTTAAATATGATCACATGCTCACAAGGACATACGTGTACACATGCACACATAGCTCATTTATGAACTCTGTGTACCTTCAGTCTCTTTGCTTCTTTCTTTTTCCTACTTCTGGGCCACAATAATTAAGAAAAAATACAGAGTGCATATAAACCTTTTTCTTTACCTTTGAGTAACTATCGTTACTTTACAACTTTCTCTGTCTCTGCTTTACTTACCAGATTTCACACCCTCTAGAATACACCTTTCTTGGAAAATGGCAACACCTTATCTTTTCAATAAACTTTGCACCTAGCACATAAAAGATCTCCAACTAGTAATTTATTTTAGATCATGTGAAAAAGATTCACTGTCCATGTATATTAAAGGTTAATGAATCATTAATCAAAGCTAACCCCATTTGCCAATCCATTTGCCTATTTAGGTTGTGTCCTAAAAGTTCACTCATGAGTCAGTTTGCTTTGTTTCTAGGGGAAACTACATTATCTATTATTATAATATATAGTATTATATATTATGATATATAATAATAAATACTAACATAAATAATAATTGCCACAATTGATTATCAGGTACTTTATACATGTTATTTCTTTGTTTTACAACAACCCTGTGATATAGGTACCCATTTTACAGATGAAATTCAACTTCAACTAAGGAACATCTATCCATCCATTCATCCATTTATTTATTTATTTATACAGATTTATTTATTTATTTTTTGGTGGGGAGGGCAGAGGAAGAGGGAGAGAGAATCCCAAGCAGACTCCCCGCTAAGTGGGAAGCCCAATGTGGGGCTCAATCTCACAACCCTGAGATTATGACCTGAGCTGAAATTAAGAGTCGGATACTCAATGGACTGAGCCACCCAGGTGCCCCTTATTTTTTTTTAAGATTTATTAATCTATTTGAGAGAGAGAGAGAGAGAGAATGAGAGAATGTGAGTTGGGGCAGAGGGAGAGAATCTCCAAGCAGACTCCCTGCTAAGAAGGGAACCTGAGGTGGGGCTCGATCCCATGACCCATGAGATCATGACTTGAGCCAAAATCAAGAGCCGACCACCCAGCCTACTGAGCCACCCAGGCGCCCCTTTTAAAATTATACAAAGTCAAACACATTTCTTGTCCTGAAGACAGCATGTGCTAAAGGGGCAAAGACAGGCCACCCATGGCCTCCCTCGCCATTCCTTGTCCCTTTACCAGCCACAGCCTTTGGGCCCCAGGTGGGTGTCTGATTCGATACCAGCCTATTCTGGTTGTGGCCTGCTTTGAAAAGATGAGCTCCGCCAGTCTGATTCTCCCTTAGGAATTTGAATGGGGAAACATGGGAAGAAGCAGTAAGTTGGCTGGAGCTGGGGCAGAAAGACTGAGAAGTTGATGAGTGAGTGTTAGGAAGGGAGGCCAATTGTCACATGTGAGCTGCTGGGTATAGGGGAGTAGAGGCCCGCAGAGACTTGAGTGTAGTGGATGGGTATAGGGTAAATGGGAGTGGGACAGAGAGAGTCATGTGCAGAAAGCAGCCAGGTGCTCCGCACGCTGGAGCCAGACTCTGCACCTTTCCTACTCGCCCCCACCCCCACAGTTTCTATGCTGGGAGAGACTTAAAATAATCCTTCATCTCTTGAGCTTCATGTCTTGAAGGACAGTTGGTTCTTTTCGGCCCTTCTGACCGAAATTAGAACACACAGCCCGTAAATACTGGTAAGGGGATTTGAACCGCAGTCTGTGGGAACAGTCTCTGTTCCTCTCACTGCACCCCTTGGCTACATTACAAATGCTGCTCTGGCCCACCGTGGCCCATGAGGTCACCTTACTGGATCTGAAAAAGAACCAACAACGGACCCGTTTCCTGAACCCATGTCCCCAGTCTTGGTTTACTCTTGGAGCCCTGAACAGGAAGGTGGGGGTTAAGAAAGTCGTAGGCAACGGGAAAGTCTCCAAACAAGTCTGGGGCAGGACTCCAGCTTCCAGGGCGGAAGGTACTACAGTGGGCAGGGGGGTGGGGGTGGGGCAAGGACGGCTTCTTGGCAGTGCAGAAGGGCCCCTGGCTCTTCCACGACTGGAACTGCTCTTCCCCCTACTTGCTAGCTCCAGTTCTAAGACCGCGCCTGACATACAGTCGAATGAGTGAATGAATGATTGATGAATGAGTGAGTGACTAAATGACTGGCAGAAGTGGGTCATGGCCCCTCTTCAAACGTGTGCATCATTCTTCAGTCGTCTTCCCCAGTTAAGGAACACCTGTGTCTGTGTCTGAGCAACAATTCACGCAGCACTAGGAGTACTGTGGACAGTGACTAGTCACCTTCAGCTTTCACAGTACCAGAGCTGATGGAGTGATGCCCACGATAATGCCAGAGTTCCGAGACGACACATGGACAACCCTGGACTGCACTTGCCCTGTTTACAAAAACACGGCTCCCTTTGTCTTCCTCTGGAGAGAGTGAGGTTTTCATTTTAAGAGGCTGACTAAAGGCTGCGGAGCCACTTCCTGGGCAGGCTTCCAAGTGACTACATCTCTCTCCCAGCGCTCCCCAGAGCCCCAGCCCAGGCTGCCTGGGGCGGGGCCTCCAGCTGGCCGTGGCCGTGGCCGTGGCCGTGGCGGTTGGAGCTACCGCAGGAGCATTTATCTGCAGCCCGCCAGAAAGGCTGGGCCCTTAGGTCCTCCCGGGGCACGGATAATGGCTTTGGCCCTTGCGCTGAAGTGACGTCCGAGTTTGTGATTGGCCAGGCTGGTGTGTGTGAAAGGTGATGTCTGCCACACTTCTGAGTATGGCATTTCTTCCCGCCGAGTACCCCGGGCTGTGGGTAAGTCTAAAGCTTTGCGGTCTGCCCTGGGTGGTTGTGAAATGTTCAAAGCCGAGCACTGTGACTTTCCAAGGGCATGACTTAGCATATTTTGTGATCCTGCGGGGCCTCAGTTGCCTTTTCTGTGAAATAGAGATGGTATTCTCCTATGTTATGGAAGGATAGGAGAATGTAGCCATCCTAGGCTGTTGCAGGACCAAGAAGAGAGAACCTATCGAGAGTACCTCCTCTGGTACCTGGCATATAGTAGAGAGTGCGGCACTCTCATGATTTCTGAGCATCAGTCAAAAAAAAAAAAAAAAAGGGTTTCAGTGACAAAGTTCCTGTTTTTATCTCTAATGGTGTAATATTTCTCTGAAAGACTCAGTGGCTATATTCTGCTTCTGCACCAAAGAAACAAGGCTTCAGGGGAAGATAGGCCAAAGGAAAGTTTGTCAGACTATATTCCCTTTCTCTTTTTCCCTTCTAGACCCTGACTGCACCTGCCCCGTTTGCCGATGAAACCAGCTGCCAGTGCCAAGCACCCCATGAAAAATTGACCATTGCTCAGGCCCGCTTAGGAACTCCAGGTGAGGCTGTACTTCTTGTTCTCTGCGTGGGCCCCGTCCTGACCTCTAAAGTAGCAGAGGGGCACCTGGGTGGCTCAGTCGGTTGAGCGTCTGCCTTCGGCTCAGGTCGTGATCCCAGGGTTCTGGGATCGAGTCCCACGTCGGGCTCCCTGCTCGGTGAGGAGTCTGCTTCTCCCTCTCCCACTCCCCCTGCTTGTGTTCCTTCTCTATGTCTCTCTCTGTCAAATAAATAAATAAAATCTTAAAAAATAAATAAAGTAGCGGAGTAGGCCCATCATTACTTGAGCACTTTCAATCGGAGAGTTGAATTTAGAGATTTACAGCACAGTGCAAGAAGGATAAACACCTACACTGACAAACTGGACCAACCAAAGTAAGCAGGTAAAAGATAGAGCAGGAAATGGAACCCCAGCCCTGCCATCTCCTAGCTCTACAACTTTGTGCAAGTCAGGAGAACGATCTGAATCTGTTTCTTTTTGTGTCAGTACGAACATTGATACCTGCCTGCTTCACAAGGTTTCAGGGGTGACAAGATTTGGTTCAAAACACCAAAGCAGTTTTTAAACTGCCTAGTTTTTAAACAAGCCTAGGCTATTATAATTATTATCATTTTTAATGCCTTTTAAAAACGTTTCTCCGCTGCGGCACCTGGGTGGCTGAGTTGGTTAAGCGACTGCCTTTGGCTCAGGTCATGATCCTGGAGTCCCGGGATCGGGTCCCGCATCAGGCTCCCTGCTCAGTGGGGAGTCTGCTCCCCTCTCTGACCCTCCCCCCTCTCATGTGCTCTCTCTCCCTCTCTCTCATTCTCGCTCTCTCAAATAAATAAATAAAACCTTTAAAAACAAACAAACAAACAAAAACGTTTCTCTGAGGGTGCCTTAAATAGCCTGGGCTCTACGCTAGACGTTTGTTGATTCATTAACTCCTTTATACCAGAGATGCCTAGAGATTGAAAAAGACTTAAGAAGGACCATCCCAAGAGCTCGGGCATACCTTGTTTCGTTGCACTTTGCTTGAGTGTGCTTCGCAGATGCTGCGGGGTTTTTTTGTTTTGTTTTGTTTGTTTGTTTGTTTTTACAGATTGAAGGTTTGTGGTAACCCTGTGTCGGACAAGTCAGCGGGCGCTATTTTTCCAACAGTATTCGCTCATTTTGTGTCTCTGTCACACTTTGGTCATTCTTACAAGAGTTCAAACTTTTTCATTATTCGATTCATTAGGGTGATCTGTGATAAGTGATTATGACTTGCTGAAACCTCAGATGACAGCATTTTTTACTATCAGGTGTTATTTTTAATTAAGGCACATACATAGAGGGTTTTTTTTAGATATAATGCTATTGCATGCTTAATATACTACAGTATAGTGTAAACATAACTTTTTTTTTAAGTAATCTCTACACCCATCTCGGGACTTGAACTTACACCCCTGAGATCAAGAGTCACACGCTCTACCAATTGAGCCAGTCAGGTGCCCCTAAACATAACTTTTACATGCACTGGGAAACCAAAAAATTCACTTGACTAGTTTTATCGTGGTATTTGCTTTATTGCAGAGGTCTGAAAATGAACCTGCAATATCTCCAAGGTACACCTCTAATTAAAGAGACAACCCAATATGAAATAAAACCCCCAAATAATATGCATGTATGTGCTTAGGGGTTCAACCTCGCAACACAGATAACTGTAAGTTTTAAGAAGAGCAGATTCATTGGGCCTGGAACAGTCAGGAAAGACCTTGTAGCCAACCTGAGCTGCTTGTTTTGGGAGAAGTGAGATTGGGACTAGGTGGGCAGTCAACAGAAGGGTGTCCCAGGCCAATGGAAGCGGAAGAGTGAAGGCACAGAGATAGCTGTGTAGGAGTCAATGAGGGACATTCCAGGTGATGCGGCTGGAGTGAAAACTAAGACTAGTTGAGCAGCTGAGCTTTGAGACGCTGAAGATGGCATGACTTGGTTTCCACTCACCATGGCAAAAAGCAAACATCCCTGGCTTAAGAGAATCCGTGGGACAAAGGACAATTTGCTTAATAGTAATAGGTATTTATTAAGTGCTTACTATTGCTAAGTTCTTTAGATGTACCATGTCCTTTCACTCTACCACTCTGTGGTTAGTACTTTATTTCCCAGAGGAGAGAATGAAGGCTTTCGAGAAGCCATGAATCTCGCAAGGTAAGTGAGTGAGCCGCTGCCAGGGGTCCTCACACTGGAGGTGCATCAGAATCACCTGGAGGGCTCATCAAACTAGATGGCTGGGCCTCACCCCCAGAGTTTCTGATTCAGTCCAAATGGGGTGGGGCCTAATCATCTGCCTCTCAGCACCCCAGGCGCTGCTGCTGTAGGGGACCCACTTGAGCCCCACGAGTGGGTGGTCAACCTGGGGTTTGACATCAAAGCCATTTTGTTCACGCTTGGGCTCTCGATCATGACTCTCTGTTTCCTTTTGAAGAATATCTTCAAGGGAGTGAGGTGAGGAAGCGAGGGTGGGCAAAGTTAATAATCAGCTTTGAGAAAGGCAAGAAGAGGCTTGGGGAAGTAGCTCTTAGCCGCTAAACCGGTCGTTCCCACACTTAAGTGTGCAACAAATCACCTGGTGCCTTGTTAAAGAAGCAGATATCCTGGGGCACCTGGGTGGCTCAGTCGGTCAAGCGTCTGCCTTCGGCTCAGGTCATGATCCCAGCGTCCTGGGATCGGGCCCCGTGTCGGGCTCCCTGCTCGGCGGGGCATCTGCTTCTCCCTCTCCCTCTCCCTCTGCCCACGCCCCCCGCCCCACTGATGCTCGCTCACTTGCTCTCTCAAATAAATAAATAAAACATCTTTAAAAAAAAAGAAAAGCAGATTTCCTGCTCTCTCTCCCTTACCCCTGAATCTGGGATGGGGCCCAAGCATCTGTGTTTTGAACTAATAGCCAGGTGATTGTGAACTTGGTGGTTTACAGACCATACACTGAGAAATGTTGACCCCAGCAATAAATCCAAAAGCCACAATGGAATTCCAGGTGATTATGAAAGAACTAATTTAACCTAAAGTGAAAGACTGAGCTTCAGGCCACCGAAGAAGAGGCCCCTACTTTGCCTGGGAAAGGGAGGTAGAACTTCCCGTACATCTGCTACGTGCTGCGTGCTGTACTCTATCTCGTTTGGTCTTTGCGTCTGGTCTCTTACCCATCTGACAGCAAAAACTGTGAGATGGGTAATCTTGTGTCCTTTCTTGAGGACTTGGAGAATGGAAAAGTAACTTGTCAAATGTCCTAGCTGACTGGGTGGAGCTAGGATTTGCCCCCAAGTCCCTTTTACCTCAAATCTCTGCACGGGCCATAGCTGACCGCAGAGCTCAGTGAGAACACAGGCTTTGAACTGGAGGGTGGCAGGTGAACGAGACAGACAAGACAGACAGACAGTGGCTGTGATCTTCCAGCGGCAGGGGTGTCTGCCTCGCTCACTGCTGTTTCACCAGCACCTAGAGACCTTCTTGTCAAATCCTGTGTGCTCAGTAAATACTTCGTGAGTGACTGAGTGAATGAATGGAAGTTTGGGACAAGAGGAGGAGCTTGCCCTCTGGAATAAAATCAGAGAGTTGGGTGTGATGCTCTGAGCTGGCGTCAAGCTGATGGGGTTAGATTGGGCACTGGTATGTTGTCTGACCACCAAGCGGTTTAAACGCCAAGAACCAAGTTAGAATAAGATGGTGGTACGTTTTGAAACAGCTGTGTCGTGGGCTCTGTGGAACATGGGTCTCTGCAGGAGTGAGATGAAGCACAGGTGAACTCTTCGCACTAGAAGAGAAAGTCGCCTGTTGTCTCAGGTGATGGCCCTGGGAAGTTATCCAAGAGAGTTTGTGATGTTGATGGGCACCTGGCTGGCAGAGGGGGGGAGGGCCCCATTTTTGTTAGAAACTCCTTTGTTTAGAATGTCTAAATAAGGGACTTATTAAATGGAATGGCATGGAAGCTCAACCATCTTGTCCATATTAAAATGTGACAAGATGTCAGTTCTTTGATTAGTAGAAGGCACGTGATAGTCTTAGACCACACTCTGATAACCATTGTTTTATTACAGTAGTGGTCCTCTTTGCTGCTTCGAATCCTCTGCCTTGTTCAAGTAGCCATCACCTGCCAGGTGCGTGATGGAGCAGATCTGGGGTGGGGGTGGGGCTGGGGATGGTGCATCCCTTAACGAGTTCCCTGCTGATGCTGCCTGTCCTGGGACCTCACTGCCAGAACCACTGACGAAGAGTAACTGTTGGTAATGGTTGGAGGGAATGACAGGGAGATTATCCAAATATAATTGTTGGGGCATTGTGCTGTTAGTAGAAAACAAGAAAAACATCATTGCTTTTTTGGAACGTTTGGTAATTTTCAAGACTACTAAGCAATTACCTTTTTGTGGTGCTGTCTTGAGCATTCCATCAAAAAGACAAACAGACCCACATTTGGGGTTTATAATGTACTTCAAGATTATAGTTATAAGTGAAGTCTTTATCTCCTTCACTGGCCCTATTTTATGACTTAGTACAATTGCCTACAATATGTTGCACAATTGTCAGTCTGCCCAAAGAGGGGCTGGCATATAAATTCTAAAAGAGGTAATGACAAACTCTGCTCATCGCTCTTAGCTCCTGTATGTTCTCTGAGCCACAAGAGAAGGAACACAGTAGAACAATTGGATTGGCACCTTTGGTCTGAGCTCAATTAGTCCAGCTGTGGAACTATGAACCTGCAAGGTTTCATATCTATCAGAGACCGAGAATCACTCCTCTGTCTTCAGATAAAGGAGAAGTCCAAGTGATTGTTTCATAGGTCCCTTTTCATCACAGCTGCCTTTTATCTTAAAAGGAAATTCAGTTCTAATTGCCTGTTTTCTTTCTCAAAGGGGGATTTGTGTTGTTCCATTTCCACGGTGCGTAGAGTATGCCAAATTCATTTTTTCAAGAACTACCTCAATGAATTTTGCCTTGTTTGTGTGCACCTGTCTAATTTTCCTTAAATATACCCTTTTTTGAAAA